GTGTCCATCTTTTTATGGCCAAAATAAATAGTTTGTTTATATGGTCACAAATTCACATTGTGCCTTTATAGGGTACTTAATATATAGGTATCTAAATCATTCTTTCTTATATGAATTTACTGTATTAACCAAATAGTAAATTTATTATTTATCAAAATATTGTTTATATATAAGAAAGGCTTAGAAATGCCTTTAATCAGTTTTAATCAGCAAATATTGTTAGTGTATACTAGATGAACAATACAGGAAGAAGTTGCATGAAATAAAGTTCTCATGACTCCTAGTTAAATTTTGCATGCACAGTCTTAAACCCTGCACCATCTTTTAAGCATAAAACAGAATTTTTAATAATATCTTAGTAGCTAGTTTGCAAAAAGATTTTGTAGTGCATCTATCATCAAGTTAATAATTTAAAAATATAAATAATCAAAATCTCTCATCTTCTCAAATGATCTAAGGCTGGAAATTTTTCTAGCGCGCTTATATTTTTAACAAAAATTATGTTTTTATTGTGTTGGCATGAACTAAGAAATTGTCAAAAAAAATCATCAATTTTTACAGTACTTAATACTAGAAGAAAAAAGGTTGACTTGTAGGGGCAACACACTCTGCTCTGGCTACTGTGCATGATATATCCACAAGATATGTAAACCAATGCATCTACATGCAGAATAGAACTCCCTACCCTGACTGTTCTGGAATGCACAAAGCATTTGCGGCTCTTAAGAAGATAATTACAGAAACACCCTTTGATCCCTTGACTAAGTCTTAAGTATAAGTATAATGTGGTGCAGTCAGCAAGAGCCTCAGACTGTATCATGCGTGATGCTTTAACTTTTGCATCTGCTTTGGCACTGTTTCATAGAAATCACAAACTAAATCAACAAAACTAAAATTAATAAGTATTCACTGAGCACAAAGAAATCTAAATGATATGCTAACTACCAGGAATTAAATAGGAGAAAATTCTTGGTTCAAATTTCAGTTGTAATTTTGAACATCTCTTCACTCTGTACGTAACATGTCAAATTTAGACTTTATAATAATCCAAATCAAATGATAGGTGGTGATGAAATCTAGAGTTTTGTCTCCTTTGTGGAGGTGGCTAACAGAGGAATGTATTTCAGAATTCTTTTTGCCTATTCTTTGGAATCTTTAACATGCTTTATTTCTGAGAAACTATTCTTCGAGTAAATTCTAACATATCATTGATGTTACTTCACTTTGTATTTTACTATGGAAATTATCATTTTGCATCTTTAAAGCATAAAACTCACATATAGGCTTCAAAATATATAATATTACAAGTTGCTTTAGATCTAACACATTAACAGTATGATTTAGAATCACATTAAAAAACCTTCTAATTATATACACATATATAATTACATATGCACACATTTCATGATGCCTTTATTGAAGATAATACTAAAGTAATTTAAAGAATATATTTAGTATTAGAGGCCCAAGACATTTTTCCAAAATAAAGAATCATAGGAATTACTTATTATGTGTGTATTTGATTAAAAATAAATAAGAAGAGGTATTCATTAAAGAATGATTACTATAGGGAGAAAGATATAAAAAAATTACTTGAAAATGATAAAAGGATATTTTCTTTGGCCACAGTAGTCTTGATAGTCTTTCATCCTCAATGTAAGAGAATAATAGAAAATTGCATGAAGATATTCTTATTCAGCTTTTAGCTATTGGTCCTTTGATCTTTGGAGTGTGTATTAAATTTTCTAATTTAAAACATGCTAAATAATTTATAGAAAATAGCAAAGGCTGTACACACCAAATATTACTTCTGAAAACTGATTGTATTTCAAAAGATGCTTTTCCATTCAAAGCAAGTGTGTCCACTTAAAAATATGTATTTAATTGAATTTTTAATTTAATCAACTCAAAGCTATGAATTTAGCAATGCTCATGAAAGAAAGAGATTAAAGATGAATAGAGAGAGGAGGTTCCCATCCTCCCTTGCCGGTACCTTTCAGATTTCACCTGAAGGGGCCACCCACTAGTTTTCTGAACAATGCTTTCCACATGGTTATTAAATCCCATGGACAACAAAATAATAGGCCAGTTGATTTCACTTAGGACTTTCTTTAGCTCATTAAGTCTTGGGGTTTTCATATGGAAAGTCAAACATGCTGTATTTTTCTTACAATAGGGCAGTAGGTATATTGAGTTTGATTTAAAAAAAAAACTACTACATGTTTCAAGTTGTAATTTTGACTTTAAAAACATTTTTTTATAAAGGAAAGAACCAAAAATATTGTCTAAATGGTGGAAAGTCATAATGCAAAAGTTCATGGACAGAAAATAAATACAGGCATGCACACATAGTTAAGTATTCAACTGTATGGTTCACCACGGGGAAAACATTAAATAAAAGAAGAGTCATAAAATTATTCATGAGTCTGTTTGAGTTGCATGATGTAATATTGTCTTCCATCTTTAAAAGCCATTGATTAACTTCTGAGGGGAATTACATAAACTTTTATAACTTCTTTTTAATAATCAACTTTTGCAAGGTAGGTTTTGGCAAGGAATGATGTAGGAAATACCTTTCCTTTAGATAAGAAACGAATACTGCATTGCAACCGGTTTGACCATTTTACCATGTTGGCATTTAAATACAGAATTAATTATTCTGACACCATCCAGAGAAAAAGAAGAAAGAAGTATAAATTGTGAGACACATCCTAGCATTGAGCCCTTCGATTGCAAAATCAATGAGAGCCTAATGAAACCACTCCACATCAGCCAGGTAAAAAGTCCAGCTGCCAAAGAGACAAAGTGTCAGAAACTATCAGTGAAGAACAAGCAATCAATGAAATGTGAGTGGGAAAACAAGCTTTTCTCTCTATCTTCAACTATGCAAACAGCAGCAATTTCAAAACCTCCAGAAGCACAGCTCTACAGATAGTGACACAGAGCAGAGCTGATTGCTCCCCCTGGTCCTGCAGAAAGCTTCAAAGTTGCTTGATTATGGACAATCGCTCCATTCATGAGGTGATGTTGACTCCTCTAGATTTGTATTTAATCTTATCTTAGAAAATGTACAATTATCAAATAATATAATCACACACACACACACTTCAAACACTTACTAAATTCTTTTGTTGCAATTGGATGAAATAACTACATTATCAACAACTATTTCAAAGTTACCACCACAAACTTTGGTGATTGATAAAGATTAGTCATTGTAAGTATGCAGTGTGTTGAATGCCAAAGATTCAGTTTATCAGTTCAGATAGACTGTGGTCTCATACAGGTGAAAAAGGAGTCAGGAACAGGATATGCTGGTATTCATGATATTCAACAGCTTTTGATTATTCAAAAGTCAGAGAAATCAACCAACATATCAAAAAATTTAAATGTGAAAAAGGTTGATAACTTAAAATGACTGAATTGTGGAAATAAAGAAGTGTGTATTTGGGGCTTAGGTGTCTCATTTTAAAGATGAGGTGACCCAAGCCTTAAGTAATGTATGGCTTTTGCTTGAGTGATACAGCCAAGGTGAGGATCGTATTCTCTGAGTCTAGATTTCTGTGCTTTATTTCTTGTCAGTCTCTCTGGGGATTGATTATCACCCTGACATCCAATGTTGTTATTTAATAGAAGAGAAGAGAACTATGACATGCTCAGAACAGCTTCACAAAGTTCCTTGCAGCTCATTCTACATTCTACTAGTGGCCTAGAAATGCTAACTATTTGCTAGGCAAACAGTATGTACCAGCCCAGCTCTAATTCCTACTACCTATTTTTCAAAGTAGTTTATAATGACAGTCTTTTGGGATGTATTTTCTGTATTTTCCAAAAGCAATGAAGCAAAAAGTTTAGTAAGTTTATTGCCTAACAGCTGTTTGGAGTTCAATGCAGTGGGTTAAGGCTTCCACAGTATCTGTTACAGTGGGACAGAGAGACTAGACTTGCATCTACTCACTGTAATGATAGAAGGAATGGATAATTTATTTATAGGTGCAGGAAAATAGTTGATACTGCAAAAATCAATGGCACTTTTTTTTTTCAAAAAGAATAGAATTTGACAGCATGTCTTTTAAAAGGAGTAAAACGCATATATATTTTTGAGTTATTTATGATGGGGTAGAAACTTCTGGCTCTAGTGATTCTGAAAAAATGTAAAGATATCTTTGGGAAGCCATCATTAGTAATGTTCACGAATATGCTTCATAACTACATCAGAAGAATTGGTATAAGATGTTTTTGTCCTCTGTCTTTTTCTCAAAATCATAAAGATAAGTTTTGGAAGTCAATGAAGCAATTGAACATTAGCCTCAGGGAAAATGGGTAAAATGAAACCATAACTAAGTAATTTATTTATATTAGTCAAGTTAAATTTGGTTCTTTGTTTATTTACTCATTAGTTTTTGGCAGTTTGAGGGCTTTCTACATACTAACCAAACACTCTTACCCTGAGATACAAGCCCAGCCTCCTGCTCTTTTTATTTGTGATAACTGAGCCCATAGATTTAAGGAATAGGGTAAAGGGTATAGATTTTCATTTCAGCAAAAATGTTCAACAACTTTATCATATTGCTTTTCTTTACGAAAACATGATCAAAATGTTGGGTGATTAATACATTTGAACTTGGAAGTTATTGGCTGTAAGTAGCTATTTAGTATTAACCAACCACTCCAACTTACCAACTGAGCATGAAATAGTGACCTTTTCTTGTGAATAGTTTTTTAGTGATATTTTCATAACACTGATGAAGGTACAGCATATCATGATTTATTAGAAACTGAATAACAGACAAACTTCACCAATTTAAAATCTAATGAGATTTCAGAGTATTGAAAATACTAAAAACAACAAAATGCTAATAATTATAATGTTGGCATGAGTAGATATTATAAAAAACCTAATTATTTGGTTTAATATTACTCTGATATACATATACTATGTAATTATATGTTCAAAGAGATAAAACAAGAATATCACCAATTGGCTTATAAGTAGTTACCTTAAAAATGGCCCAGTGTTCATTGAGCACAGGTTCCATGTAAGATAGGAGTTCAGTGCATCTACAGAAGTAAAAGGAATAAGACCAATTCAAGTGTGTGACCCAAGCCTCATGCCTCACACAAATGTCAGTGGAAAGGAAGAGTACTTCTCCATGCATTATGGAAGTCATCTTTTGTGGTAGGCATTAGTGTACTAAAGTGTTACTGTACACACATCAAAAGATATCAATAAGAATAGAGCCGGGCAGTGGTGGTGCACGCCTTTAATCCCAGCACTCACTCGGGAGGCAGAGCTAGGCTGATCTTTGTGAGTTCGAGGCCAGCCTGGGCTACCAAGTGAGTTCGAGGAAAAGGCGCAAAGCTACACAGAAAAACCCTGTCTTCAAAAACAAAAACAAAGACAAAACAAAACAAACAAACAAACAAAAGAATAGAACTATGGGGAAAGTCTATGATACAAGAAACAGAGATATGGGTTGAAAACTCATTAAATTTTAAGTAAAAAACATTAATTAAAAACAGACTAATTCTAAATCGGTTAACTCCAAACATCAAATAAATGATACAGAGAAAGATTACAGAGAAAGCCTTTTTTTGAAAGCTTGAAACAGTGAATCAAGTGCTTTCACTTATGAGTGGTGGAGACTGATTCAGTAAGTTGAGAGTCAAGATGAATTATGTCGAGTTCGCAACACTTGTTGTTTCTGCGGTTTGAAGATCGACTTCTCAAACTATGTGTCAATTTTAATCCTCTTTATTCCTTGGTCAGCCCCCTCTCTTACACAACTACAGCTGTGGTATGACAAAGCCAGTGAATCGTTTTGAAAACTACCTAAACGATGATATTTTTACGTTAGGTGCAAAACCAGCTATTACGTTCTCATTTTAATTTGCCTGATTGAATCCAGGGGTGTTCTGGAATCCGCTTCTGACAATAAGATACAGAGGGAAAGCATAGGAGAGATATATTCCTCCCTAGAAATGATATTGTACAGTTGGAATTGTATCCTTTTTTTTTCTCCCTCTGAGACAGCAGCTGGTATGACGCCATAATATTACTAGCTGGTCTGCCATACTATAATCAGCTGGGGATGATTCTTAAGACATCTTGGAAATACTGGAAAGGAGCATCATGGAGTTATGAGTCATATGTAAGACCAAAAAAAAAAAAAAAGCCTTCCTTTTTCATACCTCTTTCTTTGTACCTACTCATTTATTTGGAAACCTGAGGCCAATTTTACTGTAGCCTAACAAACAAACAAACAAACAAACAAACAAAAAACAGGGCAAACAAACTGTAACCTTCATAGCTGCCCATAGAAGGAGAATGGAAAGGAGAAAAAAAAAAAACCTATGCCATTTCTTGTGGTAAGCTGAAATGAAGGTCAGATACATGGTAGTGGGCAGCTAAACGCTGGGGAAGGTGGGTTAGGAAGTTTTGGAGAAAGAGTAAGAAAGACCAACATACCAAAAGGACACACTTAGGTTGTAGTCAGCGTCACAAAGAAATAGGGAAGGAGAAAAGGGAAGTTAAGGCTTTCACAGACAGAAAGGCAGGCACAAGATCTTGTAGGGACTGTACCAAGGGAAAGGAATTCTGGGAAAGAAAAGTACATCACCTCATTAAAGGTATAATTATCCCATCTATCTCTTTACCATGGCTTAAAGTAAACCTGCCTTCATAGGGGTAGTGCCACCTTCTTTTTTTTTTTTTTCTTTTCTTTTATTTTACAATACCATTCAGTTCTACATATCAGCCACGGATTCCCTTGTTCTCCCCCTTCCTGCCCCCCTCCCCTTCCCCCCAGCCCACCCCCCATTCCCATCTCCTTCAGGGCAAAGCCTACCCTGAGGACCGAGATTGACCTGGTAGAATCAGTCCAGGCAGGTCCAGTCCCCTCCTCCCAGACTGAGCCAAGCGTCCCTGCATAAGCCCCAGGTTTCTAACAGTCAACTCATGCAATGAGCACAGGACCCAGTCCTACTGCCTAGATGCTTCCCAAGCAGATCAAGCCAATCAACTGTCTCACCTCTTCAGAGGGCCTGATCCAGTTGAGGGCCCCTTAGCCTTTGTCTCATAGTTCATGTGTTTCCTTTCGTTTGGCTATTCTCTGTTCTTGATCCTGCTGGGATCTCCCGATCCCACCTTCTTCCATGCCCCTTAACCAGGACATGGACCAATTTAGCTTAAAAAAAATGCATGCTTAATCAAAGTTAGTTAACAGTTTGACTTCTTTCCAAGTTCTATCTAAATATTACACAATAGTAAAAAAATAAGAGATTGATATGTTTACCTTCTAGGTACATAATAATCATTTTTTGGAGTCTGTTCTAATGTTAAAGAAATTACAGGGGATATTATCATGTCCCTTGAACTCCATGGTAAAATAGGTCACAGGGGACTATGGTGCCCTTTCAAAATGTCTTATACCTTGGCAAGCCTTGTGTTCTCCTGTTCAGAGAGGCTATCATGTCTCCACTAAGTGAACTTTAAACTGTGTCCGTTCTACAAAGAGAAGGATCAATACAGAGGTCAATTTTTCTCAATGCTTCCAAGATAAGCCACTGGGTAAAAAAAATGGCCTTTGACTTATTCTTTAAAGATGTGACAACTGGTAGAAGAGTGAATAAAGGGGCCAGAAGTTTGACTCATGCCCAAATGACCTCTGGACACCAGCTTTCTATTGGTCTTTATAATCAAAAGGAAAATGGTTGGAGATGGTGAGATGGTTCAGAGGTGAACAGTGCTTAGTGCTTTTGCAGAAGACCTGGGCTCAACTACCAGCACCCACATGTTGCTCACATTGTCTATAATTCTAGTTCTTATTTTCTAACAATCTCTGTAACCCCTATGGACACTTGCATGCATACAGTGCACATAAAATCACTCAAGCATACACACACACACACACACACACACACACAAGAATAAATAAATAATCAATATTTTAAAAACATAGTTATTTGGAGCCAACACATGGTATTAAATACTCAAGAGGAAATTTTGATGAAAGAATCATATGACTGGCATTTTTAAACAATACATGGAATTGCACTCTCCTTACATGCTTATGGACATATGAGATGTTATTTAAACAATCAGTACATACTAATGATTTTCTTTTTAATAAAAAAAATTCTTCCCAGATATAAAGTACCATAGTCTTGACTCACTTTCAATACTGCAAGCACATATCTGCAACCAAGAGAGACAAATACATTATCATTTAAACTAAAAAATTTGGCCGGGGGTTGGTGGCGCACGCCTTTAATCCCAGCACTCGGGAGGCAGAGCCAGGTGGATCTCTGTGAGTTCAAGGCCAGCCTGGGCTACCAAGTGAGTTCCAGGAAAGGCGCAAAGCTACAGAGAAACCCTGTCTCGAAAAACCAAAAAAAAAAAAAAAAATTAATTGTGGTTAAATTTATTCTTTCATTCTCACTCTACAGAACACATCTGGGATGGACCTCAAACTATGATCCTAATCACTCCAGCTGCTCTCCAAATTTCTGAGGACATATCCTGGGTTCATCATTCTTCAGTACATGTTTAGAGGGCAAAAATAAAAATGAGAAGGAACTCAGAAGATGGATGCTCTTGTGAGCCCATCAAGAGATTCTAATAGACTTTGATTTAAGCATTAAATAATATATCCTCTGGCCTGGATTCTCCTGGGTCACTGCCTTGAGTTTGAGATGTTAATAACTCTTGCCTTTGATTTTCCATAATGTCTATTCCCAGGTGGAACTCAAGGCTTTTCTTTCCTGCCCCCACCTGACAGTTATATAAATAAAATCACTGATGCACTTTTGAGGTCTCCTAGATAAGGCCCACTGGAGGGATAACCCAGTGTCACATCTGATACTACCAATGATCCAGTTCTGCACCAGAAGTTAGAGTTATCTCTTCAGTGTGTGAAATGATAAGAACAGAAGGCAGAATTTGGCTATATAGTCAGGGTAAACAGATCTCAAACGTGTTCTGTTTCTTTCTTGGCTAAAAGCTAGAGATTGTCCTTGGTGTTGTCTTAGGTGAACATGAGAAATGCCAGAAGAATTTGAGAACACTGGTTCCTGATCTGGTGCTCAGATGAATTTATTATTACATGTTATAGATGGGGAATGATGAGAGATGACTGGGGGTTTAGAAAAAAACCTGGCATGGCAGCTAAAAGTAGCAACACTGAGAGCAGAAGTTGTATAAATGTCCTTGGTTCTCCAGTGAGAAGTGCCAGTAGGGAGTGCTGGTTTCTTCCCTCCTCCTAAATGAGAAACCCTGTCTGGAGGCTCAACATTCAGGTGGGGACATTCGTCTCTTCAAGTGAACATCTTTCAGACTCGATACCTAGATTGTTCTTAATAGAAAATGGGTTATATTTATTCCTCAATTTCAAGCTATCTCCATGATTTTAGAGTTAACATTTCAGTTATATGTCTTTTTTAAAACGATGAAAGATTGGATTTAAATTGTCTGACACTTCACATTTCCATAAACCTAAAGGCTCTAGAGTCTAGGGTGTCATTCAATGGGCTTATGCTGAACTATACAGCTCATCTAATCAACACTATTGTACTTCATTTCTTAATTATTCCTTTTTACTTTTTTATATAACTATTTCCTTTCCACATTTCCTTTCCTCCCTGCAAACCTTCCCATGTATTCCTCAATGATCTTTTCCAAATCCATGGCCTCTTTTTTCATTAGTTGTTGTATACATTTATGCATATGTTTATGTATGCACACACACACACACACACACACACACATACACACACACTCGAGCAGAGAGAGAGAGAGAGAGAGAGAGAGAGAGAGAGAGAGAGAGAGAGAGAAAGAGAGAGAGAGATACCTAAATACATACTGACTAAACATGAGCCAGACAAGGACAACAATAGACATGCTAATGTGGATAGGGAAAATCCCAGGAGGCCTCAACCCTACACAAAAAAATCTACAAGCAAAAGCAACTGAAGTTTAGAGCAGGAGAAATAGTCTTCCCCAGGGAAGAACTCACCAATTGGCTATTCAATATCAAATGGTCAGTGTGGAAAACATATGTAATCCAGTTTTGTATAGCTTAAATTCTTGAGTTCCGTGTCTTGGCATTTGAAGATGTAAAGACTGTTAATGCTAATGCTATATAGTTTAAATACATTTATGGTGATTAATGTTTTCATTTACTCTAATTCAACAAATATATTATGGATAATGGTTTAATTGTGGGCAACTACACTATGTTTTATCAAAAGGGATGCAATTTTTCAGAACACTAGATTCTTCTTAAATGTGCTACATAATAAGTTATCTTTCTCTGTAGAGAGGAGAAATGGCATTTAAATAACATATGTATATATGACATAAAGGTAGAAATAAATCTGTCTACAGGGACAAAATTGACTAATGGGAAGCTGAGAAGTATGAAATAGAAGGTCATTTAAGGGGCAATACAGTCAACATACAATACATACCTGAAAAAATAATTATCTTTGATAAAATATGGAATTTAATGTGCTGATTATTTAGTACATCTTAAACACTCACAGAGATTTATCAACAATACATAGTGTTTTTTAATATGATTATATAGCCAAGGGCCTGAGACATGGCTCAACATTTAAGAGCTCTGAGTTGAAGAGCGGGAAGAGGGATTCTATGAGCAAAGGGAAGCTCAAGATCATGATGGGGAAATCTACAGAGACAACTGAACCAAGCTCCTAGGAACTCACAAACTTTAGACAGACATCTGTGGAGCCTGCATGGGACAAGACTAAGCCCTCTGCATATGGGAGATAGTTGTGTAGCTGAGTCTGTTTGAGGGGCCCCTGGCAGTGGCATCAGGATCTATCCCTGATGCATGAGCTGGCTTTTTTGGAGCCCATTACCTATGGTGAACTCTTATGTGGTATGTACTAAACACTAAAGGCATTTTATCCTTTGAAATTTTCACACAAATATCCACTGTTGTTTGGTCATGTCTATACATATTTCTATCCCTCCAGCTCCCCCCACCTTCCTCCCATCTCCATCTCAACCTCACAGTCTCTTATTTTTAAGCACTCTTCTTAGTCCATTTAGTGCTGCTGATATGTGGATGGATATGGAGTTACCCACTGAGGTATGGTCACCCCCTTCCCAAAGCAAAGTTACTTTTCCTCAGCTGGTAGCAATCAACTGGCAATAGCTCCTGAGCCTTGGGTAGGTCTAATAGAATCCCTTACCACTCTATGTTGGAAATTTAACTGGTCCTGCAGTTTGGGGCTGATACCCAAAGCATCTGTGTTCATATATGCAACAGCTATTTCAGGTACAGAGCCTAGCAGTAAAGATTTTTAAATTATTAATTCCAGGTTAATGCACAAATACTAATCTCATTTTGGAAAAAAAAAATGTCTACTCAAATAAAGTCTTCTCAATATGTATTGCCCTTTATACATGCATGATAGATGCACTGTGATTGAACCAGGACAGTAAGTATGAACATTTCTATGTCACACATACAAACACATGCATATTTAATTAAAAATATGTTTTATCTGTGTGCTTGATATTTTTACATGGAAACACTGATTTTTGCAGAAAGTTCTCTGAGGGTATATTTGTACTTAAATGAAAAATGGGTTATGAAACACTAGTATTGATAAGTTATACAGTAAGTAAAAATAAAGCCACGGTTGAAAAATATTTTGTCATCACATCACAAGAGACAAAGGTTTAAAGTTTTTATTCATCTTTCAAAAGCACTGATATTTTAAACATGCAATTTTATAGTTGTATTTGTAAATGAATGCAAACATATGACTCATAAGAAATATTAGAAAATATTTTTGTGAGATTTATTTATTCAAATATTGTACATCTCTAATTCCTTCTTCCATTATTTTATTTTATTTTATTTTATTATTTATTTATTTATTTTGGTTTTCTTCAAGACAGGGTTTCTCTGTGTAGCTTTGCACCTTTCCTGGAACTTGCTTTGGAGACCAGGCTGGCCTTGAACTCACAGAGATCTGCCTGCCTCTGCCTTCTGAGTGCTAGGATTAAAGGCGTGCACCACCATTGCCCAGCCTTCCAGTATTTTTGAAAACAGTATTTTACAGTGGATTCAAAACTGACCCAGATTACAGATGTAGTTTTATACCCAAATATAATATAGCCTCACCACCATTAACTAACCAAATACAAAACCTTCTAAATATAAACCACACAATAACAGCCTCGAACTTGTTATTCTAGCATTAATGCAGAGACTAAGACTTAATCCCCAACTGACTAAATTATATACAACATATTTTTAGGTTCTGAAGGGGAAATAATATCTTAAAGAAGAATTTTTGACATGTAATACCTTTTTTGCCTAATTTTGTTTCATAATATTTTATTAATATTTATATAATTTCATTCAATATATCTTTATTCCTCCTCTTCCTCCTCCCAACTGCTC